ACAGGGGATAACTGAAACCAACGAATCACCGCGATGTACTCCAACATAACTTCAGATTTCTGTTCTTAGGTGAACCCCTCACAGTTATCGAGATGGATTACTTTTATGTACGCACTTGAAAATGGGTCAAAATTAGAATTTGCAGTTGATTCGCATGATTGATTACAGCATGCAATTCGTATGTAATGTCCGCTCATATAGATTCCCATTATTTATCTATTCTACTCATGTCTCTTTTTCTCAATTCCCAAAGTACTGTAGCTCTTCACAGTTTGAAGAAAGTGCTGGATAACCACATTTGAGTGATTTTTCAATGACAACGTTTTTCCTCTTTGCTGCTCAATTGAAATACAGTTACGCCGTGAATTTTCATGAAGAAAGTGGCCGCCAATTGTATACTATCCAAGGGAATACAAAAACAGGAGATAGGCGATAGTAGGGTGGTTCGAACATCCGAACTCCGGGTCGCTAATCTGTGATAACCTTAACTGCTTATCATGCATATCACACGGTGTGTGTGAGTGCTCAGATCACACAGGTTTTCGGTTAACCCGGAAAACTGACTCCAAACCTAATTTGGGATTTATTCAACATTTACAGACAAGTTTGAATCTCGATAATGTGTTTAATGGATGCTCGTCTCATTTTTTCAATGCACAACGTATTTTCATTGTCTTTCTAGAACCCTGGTGTGCTGTATTGCCCCCTTCTGCTGTCCGGCCCCTCGTTGTCTTATAAAATCAGTTTGTGGCTTGGTATAACTGATTGACTTTTTCTCGTTCAACCTCTTCATTTCTGCAACTGATAATCTGCCTCTCAAGTAGCATTGTTTCGGTCACTGTAACTCGGAACAACAGTATGACGTGACAAATGACTGTACGGGAAAGGTTAAGCAAGTGAATAAATTCTAGGATGCCCACTATTTTCAAAATCAAGCCATACCACATACATTGAGTGAATGTTTTGCGGCTCGACCTGGTGGCCTACTCAATCGATCTTACTGAATTGAACAGATTTGATTTGCTTACAGTTCCAATTAGTCATAAATTCGGTGCTTATGACTACTTTGCGAGAATCGTTCTTCGATGAGAATTTTGACAGTATCATACGTAACACTGGTAATTGCGATAAATTCCCCCTGATATATATCCGCTCTTTATCAACTCTGTTTTTTTATTTCGTAATTGTTTAGTTTTTCGCAGTATAATAGGTTCATTTTATCTTGCCAACTAACAAATGCTACTCACGATTGTCCGCTCATTTTTGTTCCACTACTGTTTTTCCATACTGTTTGCGTTGCAGTATCCTATTGGATCTCCAATTTCCTCTGGGACGCATCACTATTCATGGTCATTTGTGCCATTATTGTTTGCGTGTTCGCCGTGTTCAATGTCGATGCTTACGCGACCAGTCATCGGTTACACTTCGTCCTGCTCCTGTTCCTGGGTTACATTTGGGCTGTCCTACCGGAAATGTACATTTTGGCTCGACTATTCAAATCTCCAATCTCAGGGCTAGTGTGGCTATTTGTAATCAACGAAATGACCGGTATGACATTTCTACCATTTTTTGTGTTACGCTCCGGCTTGATGTTAGCCACAAGGTCTGTCCGTGATGCATTTAGTCATCGGAATATCAAGCTTGCCCGTTGAGAGAACAGTTCACCTGTTGTTACACGAAACGGTCTGTGTACAAACCTTTGTTTGAACAGGTTTCCAGGCTACATGTATGTATAGACTGCGATCAGGGGATTAATCCTATTGATACAACTTGCACACAGGCTCACTGCCCATTCTATCTGTTCTACAGCAGAAAATGCTCTGGAAACGTGGTCATTCGCCCAGAGGAGCGACATAGAATGACGTTTTTCCCTCTCGTTTTATCCACGTCACACTAAGACATACGGAATTTCTAGTGGTGTGACCAGTTGTGAGTAAAACTGAATTGTCATCAGTTTCCTGGTCAGAAGTGTTCATGTGTATTCCGTTATTGATAGGACTGTTACAGCTCATTTTCTTTCGTGATAATCTAACCGTGGCAAACCTTCGGAAATAGGACTCTTGTAACTTGTGACGTTCAACCATAGGGTCGAGATTACTAGTTGCAGTAATCTCAGGGTATGGGCTTTCGTCACACTTTTTCGGTTGCATACAGTGGTATGTTGTAACGCTGGTTAGCAGTCAACTCCAGTTCATTTACGTTTCATTTATTGTCTTCCTTGCCTCTACTCCACCCGCTTGTTTTGTTGCAGGAATTACCGCATTCCTCCTGACAGCGTTGTTATGTCATCCAACTATACACCAACAGTCATTGTCAATGCGAATCCAATCGAGCGTGTTATTCCTGTCCCCGTCATTTTGCATTTGTGACGGTTTGTTCGCATTGTTCGCCAACTACCAATTTCGACGGATTTGCGATCAGCCGAGCATGGCTTTTTTCTGCATGTTTGTCGACCCCACCAGTCCATGCTGTTTGAGTAAGTTGACTGCCCGGAGAGTGTGCCCTCGGAAGCCTTCGAAATTGTGCACGAGTGTGGATACTGTTTGCAATATGCTACCATAGGGTCACATGTCGCGTGTGTTAAATTAACCAGATCGAATAGAGACAGCCTTTTTTGTGCAATCCCCCTATGGTAACGGTGGTAAGGTGCATACTATATCACAGTTTGTTTTATTAGATTTTTCAGCCGTATCCAAAGATGGTTGTAAAGACAACCATAAGTCCAGTATTACCCTCGTTTTTTTCGAAAACTGCTTTAGTCACTGCTCCCTGTCTCTGACTAATTGACCATCTGAAACTGGATGATAAAATGCATAGAATTTGGATATCGATCTCTGCGATTAGGTACATATCTGATAAACCAGCCTGAACTGGTAACCATACTGTTTCCCTTTTTGTTATTCCTCTTTAGGGCAAAAATACGCCCATTAACTGTTTCTGCCTTTATTATTCGTAGCCGGAAGTGTCGTTGGTGGTTCACCGATTACACACTTTCCCAAAGAAGAGCACAACCATATCAACTGCGGATTGAAGAGTTGATTCTCAGGAGAACCCCTCTGGATCTGTGGCAGATCCTGATTCTCCTGGAACTTGAAACCAGTCATTCCTCATTTCTTATCCAACGGCCCTTTTTCAGACCAAACTTCTCCCTGCTCGCTGGTCTCAGCGTTAGTATTGCTTTACGGTATGGATTTTGTATCCCTACATACAAGAGCGATTAGGCACCTCGCTAAGTGAAAACTTTTTTGGATAACCTGAACGAAATTGGCACACTCCAACTTCGTGTCATTTGCACATTCGTGAAAATTTCCAATCCACTCCTGACCTTTGATCAAACGAATAATAGGGCACGCCAAGGACAACCTCGTTTTCAAACTTTGTACCAATTATGGTGGCTAAAATCAAATGCACTGTGTACTCTGCTATCGAGATTTTAAGTATCTTGAGGAAAAACCGCATTATTTTTTTTACAGTTCAATAGTACCGGTCCTCAAATATGGTTTTGCGACGTGTGAACGTGTTGCGTAAAACGGTCATTATTTTACCATACTTCAATCATGCTCGCTTTCCATCTTCGTTACAGAAACTTGCAAACCCTTCTGTGCGTATTGGACCGATGCAGACTTGTCATTTCAACAAGGCGGTATTGGAAAACACCTACTAGCATTTGGAATTCAGGGATTGGTGTTCAATGTTATTGTGCTCTTTCTGGACACGGTATCAGCGCGTCGTGTCCAACAGTTCGCGAAAATTGGTACGGGTCTCGCTTGTTGCATTTGTGAATATTTGTGGATTACGGATTATCGCTAGAATTTTATTCCATGAGAAATGGCATACTATAGCTTTTACAATAACTTTTGACGGGCAATTTTCAACCTTAAATAAGCGACTAGAGTTCCATGGAGTGATCTTAGAGATTTTAATTGAAAATCCGCTTATCACTTGTGGAGAATAATCATTCACTGCTAAAAACACCAACGCATCCATAATCGAATTCCTGTCTTGAGCTGCACCACCCTATTCGTATGATTCGATGCTGTCCGTTTCTCATTTCTGGTTATCACATAGCCGACCTATTTTCGTCCAAAATTTATACCGATTCACATAGATCATAGTTTGTGTGCTTCTTTTCGCATATCCATTACCCTAGTCCCCGACAAAATCGGAACAAGGACACGGGTAGTTAAGCGGTCAATGGCAACAGTACATTACCTCCGAGATTGTGCATTCGAACCTCACAACTGTTACCTAGCTGTCTCCTTTTGTTTCTCCAATTGTGGATCTTATGTTGGTCGTTTCCTCCTTCCCGAGTGCTTGCCCTAATAGTTGTGTGAAATAATATAGAAGTACAAAGGAAAAAAGAGAAGAATTATGCCATTCAGTAACTTAGTCCTCTAAGATAGCTCAGCACCGAATTGCTCCATTTTAGGTAGAATACCGAAATCTATTTCGAATAGTGCATGAACAACAGAGCGTGTTAAATTATTCTTTGATAATGGTTTGCTGAATTGGGTTATGATTCATTTTTTCACCTTGCTCTTCCGGATTTCAACAGTTAGCTATCAGCTCCTCTAGTTGTCTCGTTCGTATCGGTTTTCAATATTCCGGTACTGTTTTTTAGACGACAAAGATTGTGACAGTTGCCGATCACTTTAACTTCGTCTATATTTCTGTAGCTTGCAGTGCTACATTCTCCCTATCGGGTGCCGGCTAAAGGCCTATCTGTACAGAAAAATATTGGAATAAATCCTCTATTTATACATTATATTATATTATATCTCAAGCCCGTTTAAATCGAATGCGTGGCAAGCAAATTACAGTACAATAGTCTTCAGTGAAAGAAAAAAAGTTCTGTAATTTGCCCTAGGGCGAGATACTATCTGGTTTCCCAGGCCAAGACACCTGGATTTGCTTGGGAAATTCACAACCGTAGTCTTCCGCTAGCCAAAGCCTGACCCACAAGGCAACGGGGTGGTGTGTGAGAACCGCAATCCCTTTGGAACCTGTGTCCAGCTCATCAGATCATACGCCCGTTGGACGGGGTCAAATATAAAGGTGCCCAACACACCTTAATACCCAATCCAGCTGATGACCACTGCCACAACCAAGGTGTGGGTGAGTGTGGTTTGTGTGCCTCTTCTTGGTTGGTTTGGAATTAGGGCTTTGAGCCAATTCCCCTACGTGAACTGCGAGTGCTTCACCAACCCGGGCGTTGGAATCCAAATCTCATCGGGCTTGGGAACTGTCTACCCATTTGAGATCCAGGGGGACGATCTTTTCGGCGAGTGCCAATTATTGTATTAGTTTCTAAGCCCTGTTCATTTTACTCACAGTTTCGTTTCTCCTGACTGCTTATCGAAAGTTCTTAGTCGATCTAAGAGTGCTTTTCCTAATTTGCCATCGGCTCGCTATGTCAATAAACATTCACTCAATTCAACAATAACTCCCGTTATGGTCGTTCTTCTCATTTGACCATCTACTTTCATTTAGTTGCATTATACCGAAGAATGAGTTATTACTTGTAAAGGTTAACGTGAGAAAAGAATGCCAAGCACTTTCAGAATAATAGCGCGACCAATACAGTGCGATCTCTGCCGATTGATTGCTTTGCACAGCGCATCTGACGTTTTAAAATCGGCAACTGGCTCATCTCCGGTCATGAAATGCACAGGCTTGACTCCCAGCTGATCAGGATGAGGCTTAGAAACCGTTCCCCTCCCTCCTCAGGGTTAATTCACATCCACCGATTCGACTGGACCGTGAGGTGCACTGAGCACCGTGAACTTGGGAACATGCCATCGGGATTGCATGTTGCTCTACCGATGAGCACAAGCTCTCAGTGGGTTGCTAACTGTAGGCACCCACTCACCACCTCGTGGTTTGCACTACGCTCGGTCCAATATTCTCTGAGAGATACCTCATCAACATTTTACTCCGGCTTGGCTATCCAAGTTCCACATCCGCTTTTATAGCTGAGAGAACGATATGTATCCATCACCTTTCGTTCGGCTCGTTTTCTTTAATGTACAGCGTTGGCACTCTGTCTGTTTCAGTTTGATCGTCAAAAATTAAGATATCTTAACCGTTGGTGACGTATTTCTTTGCCTAATACAGAAAAATATAACCAATCATCATGGACCTGTAAACACAACTTTTATTCATGTCTCTCACCAGCACTTGGATACTGTCTGGACGCATGCCAACGATGCGGTCTCTTGTGCCTTTGTTCATCACCATCCGTTGTGGAGCAGTCGGAGGTAGGGATTTTACCCACTACTGATGACTCTTTGCCTGAAGATCAAGATGTGGCACAACATCGTCATTTAGTTGAATCGATGCCACTGTCTCGTCTAAAAGACCAGGCCTGGTAAGATTAACAATGATCTGTGTTCTGTGTTTAAAGTCCTTTCTTCAATGTAGGCTTTCCGTTTGGTTACTTTTCGTATCTATTAGTATCAGCTGCCTTCAGCTCACTATTGGCTTATTCACAACTTGTCATTTCAATTTTTTCTCGGCAGTCACTATTTCGGACGGTGTACATCTCTGTTTCCCACATGGTCGGTTTCTCTACTCGATTTTTTCGCATTTACTACTATTTTCGATCACGCTCACATTACATTAGTCCGTGGAACTGACTCAGAGAATGATGTCGATGAAACCTGTCACAACACATTAGCGTTTGTGTGGGAAATTCCCTACTACTACTGTTATAATTCCAAAAGGCGGTGCTGGTCGAGGATATTCATTTATTGAGGATTATAGCTGGGAGGTCGTTCCATTATACACGACGGACTTCGTTCATCCGTTGAACTTTGTACACGGGATGGCGTTGTTCAACTATGTGGAATGGACCTTTCCATTTGGGAATCAACTTCCTCAAGCCAGGGCCGCTCGCGAATCCCCCAACATGCTGCTTATACTTTACTTTGGATCCAACCGGAAGCGCACTGGCCGTCCGTCTAGTTTGTATCCTAAACTTGTATCCTCCTGCGTCTTCTTCAGGTTATTCCGGGCTTCTTGTCTGTTGAAGTTGTTGCGGAGATAAATCGTTTCGCGGCCAAATGCCAACATCGAG